CCGAGCGTGTGTGGCGTCCGGCGAGCTTGCCTGTCACAGTTCTCAGTTTTTAATTGTTGCGACGACGGCGGAAGGTCCGAGCACCATCGCGTCGTTTCGAAAATGCAACATTAGAAGAATTTATAGAAAGTTATAAGTCGGAACCTTGTCTTTGGCGTAAAGTGCAAAGAAGACAACTAAGGTCAAGGAATTAGTGCCCACAGCTACGAAAGAAGATGTGATTAAAAAAAATACATTCACAGTACTTAATAGGCGTTCTACACACACCGTCACGTAGCTCAACTGAGAGTAATGGCTAAACTGTACATGTAAACCCTAACGTGTATGTGCAATATGAAACTCGGTTATGCATGTCGGTTATGCATGCACGGCTAAAACCATCATGCAAAACCTAATGTGAATGGCCTCCATTACTCAAAATCGTTGGCATAAATTCACAAACTCAATACCATAGTCAAAATATGTGGCTCGACCATTTCGCTACATTCACACGGGCACAAGGTGATAATTTATTTACTAATCCTATTCTACGTTCTTTCACTCCCGGCTCCAGTAATTTAAATTTGTAATTACGCACTTACATACTCGGTGCATACTCGAATATTTTTAACATAATTTAAGTCTTTGGCTTTACAAATGATGTGTACGCATAATACCTACTTCGTGCCTAGGTGGTTTTCCTCAATGATCAAATTATTAACTTGTTTGCAATTAGTCAATACGACTATACAAATAATTAATAGTTATGAAGTCAGATACCAAGAAATATCACTAATACATTTTTTAGAGGTTATTCAAAAGCAAATAATGGAGCGGCTTTAAATGTCAAATCGTCGAGTATGTTTAAGTTCGCATTTTAATATCGATAATACTTATTTATAAATAGATTTTAAGAATAACAAAGGTTTAATTCGAATAACCATATTGCGTTTTTGCTTGCTTACGATGGCAACTTATACAAATAAATCCTTCGTCCATGCCTAAGGTCCACCGGATGCCGTCCATGTTAATCTAATAAACAAATCAGTAATTTTATGACCAAATATTAGATGAATATAACTAGTAGTTAAGGAACTAACATAGTAAGTAAATTATTACACAAAACATGTAAATATTATTTTACATGTATTCAATTCAGACAAACCTTGAATGATAGTGTATGTGCTTGGCCTGAATTGTTTACCTACTTGTGACAAAAAAAACAAACATTTGATAAACAAAACTTATCGTAAAGCTACAGAAAATAAAATGCTTAAATTCATTCATAACAAAACCGTGTTTATATAGAGCAACAGTTTAAATCAACAATAGGTAATAGGTAAAGAAAGTATTTCTAGACAAAATTCCATGCGGACTAGGCGGCAGATGGGACTCGAACCTGCATCCTTCGCTATCCGGTCGAATGCACTGACCATTATGCTACTGCGGCTCTGATGGCCATGTCGAATTCTTTCTAGCCTTTCTTAACACGGGTCCTATAATAGGTATAGTTTATAATCTGGGAGTTAACTTAACTCTAATAAAAATAACCACTATTGTGGCTTATAATTGTTTAGTTAGTTATTTTTTTTTAATTTAAATTTCAAAGGACTTATGGGACACCCTGTATAATTCATCGATATAACGAAATTAACAACGAAATAATCTGCCTACGCATCTCTTCATAACTTAGAAACTTTATCCTAAATCGTAAAAAAGAGTCATTAAAGATATCAACATTCTCACTAAGTCTGTTGTAAGCGTCGGGCAAGCGATATGTTAGTATGTTAGTGCGAGCGATTGGTTTACTGTATTTTGGTACAGGATAGCGTGGTGGTTTACGGGGAACTCTAATATTTATCGTACTGAGAATTTGTGGGCAATTTACTACATTCCTGATATTCACTGTGCTTAATTCTATCTACAACGTCATTAATGAAAACATTGAAGAACAATGGTCCTATATGAGTGCCCTGTGGTATAATTACCTGATGTGGATAAATATTGGTCTGAACTTCCGTTCAATACGTGGCAATTGTAATAAGAATTTTATGCCAGTTAAATATGAAAACGTAGATTAATAAATGAAAATAACACAAAAATAAAACTATATAGCTTAACCTACTTATCCACATAAATAAATAATTTACAAAATAAAAAACACATCACCCCAGCGCCGCCATCAGGAATGGTGCCCAATAGGCTGGCAGCATTGCCGCGTTGGATGGCAAGGCTGATCCGTTAACCAAGATAGCTATTTTATTATATTGAATATCCCTATAATTTATGATTTATGATATTTCTTTTAATAATTTCTTCTGTCTCCATAAAAAATAACTTTTTATGGAAAAGGTAGTTGTGAAGTGTTTCCACTCTTACGACTACGTAGGAGACCTTTTCCCGATACCCCACCGACACGTAGCCTTCGTCTATCAGGTAGATTATTAAAAAGTATTGGACACGTATTTTTTGGTTATTCACGTAATGAAAACATTACAGAGATTACGTCACGTTATAGTACTTACAATTTTTTTTAGAATGACGTCACGACCCCTCACACACAAACTTTGACGCGCTTTGCCTTTTAAATTTTTTTGGATGATTTAAAAAAAAAGTATCTGTCCATTATTTTTTGATAATCTAAATGACGGACTATAAATCGGCAGTGGAAATCCAAAATCGCTTAAACGCCACTTTGATCGAAAATGGGTTATAAATAATATAATTTTAATCAGATTTTTATGTAGGTTCCATCTGTTTAGGTTTCGTGAAGATTTGAGTACTTTTTGGCGTTGAAGCAACTTAATTGTTCAGAATGCTAAAGCGATATGAATTTTGAACCAATGGCGCCTACGCCCTACTAATTGGAGTATGATTTGATGTTTGCTTGAAAAAAATGTATGGCGGGCTTAGACGAAAACAAAAAGATGGCGGGCCGTGATTTTCGCAAAAGTGACATCTAATTCGTAAAGGCACTATGTAACTTTTTAATAGGAGGATATTGAGAAAATATTATTTTATGAATATGTCTTTATTTTTATGGCGCTACTTCTCAATTTCTTTTTTACGTTCTTTTGTCAATTAATGTGGTCAATAAAAATGTTTTTCTCTCCCTCTCTCTCTTACACTTCTCATTTACAATGAATTGTGATTTTATTTGTGAAAAAGAAACTTAGATCTACGTTTCTGTAAAGTGACTAAAGTGGCGTTTACGCAATTTTGCTTTTCCACTGTCGATATAATTTCATTTAAATCTAAAGAAAAAAAAATAGATTTAAATATCAAGCAGTTATAAGCTTAAAAAATATGTATAATTTCATTTACTTCACCCCGTCATTATCCCTATTCTATGGGTACAAACGTATATCAACAACAGGAACTTATCTCAGTCGACATTGAACTTTGTGTCCAAACAAAATTGTGTATTTATCATAAAGGGCAAAAAATCGATTAAATACTATTAAGTAGGTATAGTAGATATTTGTAGATTATAAGTTACTAAAATGATTAGTACAAAATGCCTTTATAATAATATCAAAATAACTAAACCCTGTTTATTCATTCAATATGCGTCATAATATGCAACTTTTAATATTGTTGATTCTTAGTAGATCCACTGTAAGCCAGGGCAAATAATATAGACTTAATTTTGCACAAGACAACTGTAGCAACATAATAAGATAAGGAACACTTTGTGAGTAAAAACTGAACTAGTAACCAGTGTTTCTCCTAACATGTCGTCGACAGTAAGACTGATATTATGCGAAGCCGCTTATTGACACGCAAACAAAAAAGTCAATTACAATTAGCGTCTCTATTTAATTGTTTCATTAAATATCCCCTCGTCTATGTAAGTGGATGGTTTCTGCCACGAGTTGAGAAAATTATTTTCATTTTGTCATATTTAGTAATGGTTTTAAATTCACACGTCTAATATATAAATAAGTTTTTAGAGAAATTATTCAGGATTGATTAAAGACACAAATGAAGCCTGGGTGTACAGAAGAACTCGAATGATAAGAGTAAAATCGTCCGGAAAACTTTTTGATTTTCCGGCCGTGAAAAACAAAGTGGATGGCTATACAGCTGAGGGGATATGTATATACGTCTATTTTACCACCTGACTGTGTCATACAAGTTTTCTTGATCGACATATAAGTACTTAAGCATGCATTATGTTTTAAAGATTTTCTAAAAAATAATATAAACAGTAATATTTAAAAAGTAATCTGTATTGAAATTGCACTAAATAGGGATTGTATTACACTTTCTATAACTTTAAAAAAATAAACGAATCAGGGCAAAATGATGCGACCATTTTTCAGTAAATAATTACTTAAAATAAGTAAAATGATAGATATAAATCAAAGGCAGCATAATTTATGATAGGTATTTGCTCAATCTAATTTTTTTACCTTGACTTCCTACTTCGACATCATTGTCACTGTCAAAGTATAGCATTCCAAAACAATCCCTTCTTACGTTTCCACCTTGCGCCAGGTTTGCCGTCGGTAGGTACAGAGGGCCCAAATAAATTATTCGCCAACAAATAAGCTTGATGTTGTATGTATTAATCGTATAATGTTAAACCCGTATCGGGTTCAATATCAATTATTTTATAACATTTTGAATAAAATTACAATATCATATCACAAAATAGTTCTTTTCTTAACGAGATTTTTGCTGGATTGACAGTAAATTTATTTTTAGACAGCCTTGACGGAATTGAATTCAAACTAAATATAACGAACATGTTAAAATTAGTGGTGATCAAGTAAAAAATCAAGGAAAACGGTTGCGGCTATGCCACACATTAGCACCTAAAACAATACGACTTACTTAGGTACTTACTCAACGCCCACAAATTACACATCTTAACAAGTTCATCTAATTAACAAGTAGTTTCATTGTTATATTTATAATTGATTTCATCCATTGATTGGAAATAATTATATTGTATCCTATCATAGAAAGCTCATATAAATAGTCGCATCTTCATCAAACTAGTCAGTAGTCGTGAATAGGAATCTGAGTATTGACACCATGTCCCGAGTTGTGGTAAGTAATCTCCTATTCTTATTTTCATAAACTTCATTTACACATACCTGCACTATTTTTTTTGGTTGAGATCTATTACTGACAGTCAGTAAAATTATAATGTACAATGTATTCCACGGGGTAGGTACGGGACACTGTTTAATTAAGGCAACATCGAAAACACCTAACCTTAGATACAAAAAGGGAAGATACGGCCCTCGCGGCTCAAAAGTGATCCGCTTAAATTGTGGTGCATGACCATAATTCGCTTTAGTCACAATTAGACTTTTAAACACGCGTGCACATGCAGTGCACTCAATATAACAATATTGCTTATATTCTGTGTTGTGAAGATAAAACAATGCCTTCGATGCTTTTATAAAGAACACAAATAGTTCAATATCAAATAACAAATGCCTCGGCAACACTTCATTCGTAAAACCGTAATTTTTTTTTTCTCGAAAATCACGGTTTGTCGTGAATGTTATTTACGTTATCGCCATTTTGTTATAAAAAAAAAGAACAACAATACGCTGCGTTGAAGCGTATAGTTTTCGCTCGTTTGATTGAATGTTTATACACAGAGGTGTGTGAGTGTGTGAGAGTTGCTTATGTAGTGGAGTCGGATCATACATATTTTAATTGATGCTAGTATGAGCGTACCGTATCGACCCTTTTTGTTTTAATATTAGCACCAACTTTTGAAAGACATATCGGCATTATTGTCACGTCCATCCTACTTTAACAATCTAATTTTTAATACTACAGAGAGAAGGACACGAAAAGACGAAGTTCACTCTACAAAGACGAAGACCTACATCATTAATGTTGATGTTGAATATTAACTCATATGAGTAAGCCACTCGGCATTAGACAGGATTCGATCCTCCACCTTCCTTCTTCTCCACCACATAAATTGTTGATTTATTTCTGTGCCTGAGCCGAGTTAAAAATACGTATATAATACTTTCTAGTAATAAATTTCTGAAAATGGACTCAATAAAGTTAATTCTATTTCCAGATCTTCGTTTGCCTGTTAATGCTGGCATCAGCTGTTGTGAGTTTTGACCTGCCGAAACTGCCGGAAACACCCAAGTTGCCGGACACACCAAAGATTCCCGATGCCCCTAAGCTGCCTGACCCTTCAAAAACACCAGACACCAAAGGCCTACAGGACGTAGGAAACAATTAGAGTACCCCGACAGATCCTAGAATCTCAGACCAAAGTATACCGAAGCACGATAAAAGAATAATGTATAACCTCTTAACTTCTTAAACCAAGGCATATTAAAGGAGCTCCGAAAAATGTATGATTATTTATTTCACAATCAACATCAGACTAACATTTTTAAGAGAAGTAGGGAGACGAGAGAAACGCCGAAGATTTTGAAATACCTCACGCTCATTTTCTTACAATTGTTATTATGAATCCAAAAGAAAAAAAAAGAGCGCGAGGCATTTAAAAACCTTCGTGCTTCGGCGGTCAGAAACAACAAAAATGAAATCTTAAGTGATTGCTATAGCCTTAACCATCCCGAGAGACGGTAGGTCCCCTGAACTGCACTGCAATCATATCATTTAAGAGCGTTAATTAAAAAATACTATAAAAATATCACGCGGTCGGCAGCAGACGGGACTCAAACCCGCACCCTACATACGCTATCCGGGCGGAAGCGTTTACCAATTATGTTACCGCGGCCTTAATGGGCGTGTCGAATGTCTTATATTATTTCTTAGGCAGCAAGGCAGCGCCTTCTTAACAAGAAATCTCTATAATAGAAAGATAAAGTAACTTTGTGAGTCTGCTTCAGTTGCACACCGTATTCGCTGAACTTATTATTATTAGACCTTGGCGGGGCAACGAACGTTTTTGTTGTTTTTTGTAAAATGATAATTTGTGAGGAAATCCAATTATCTCGCCCAACGAAAACTTGGGTAGGTAGGAATGGATGCAACAAAAAAACCGTTATGGCAATATTAATAATAGATGTTGAATCGTGCGCTAAGTGAGTTATTCATGCACGGATGATACCACCCGTGCATAAATAACTAACTTAGCTAGGAAAATAGCGAGGCAGTAACTAACTCACTTAGCATAAGTTAGTTACTAAACATAAGTTAGTTAGTGATGTGCGTGAAAACCTAAGAAAAAAATAACATAACTAAAGACATAACTAAATAATAATAAACATAACTAAATTGACATTAGTGCATTAATTACTCACTTAAGCCAGGTGCGTTTTCTACCGGGAGGTAGGAGGAGGAGGGTTCACGGGAGTGAACAGCTACTCATTGTCAAGTCAACATTGACTGTTTACTGACTGTTAGATGACTTTGAAAACTAAATATTTTTCCATAGATGGCGTTGATGATCGATCTTATGTGTATATCGATAGATAAATAATCTAGCTGATAACAGCTATAAAGTTATAACAATATATAGTAAACACACTATCTAAGCAGCTAGAGCTACACAACTAGCTGCCTAGCTAGTTGCCTAGCCAGCTGTGTAGCTAGTTGCCTAGCTTACTGCCTAGCTATTTTCCTAACTAATTGCCTAGCTAGCAGCCTAGCTAGCTGCCAGTTGCTTAGCTAGCTGCCTAGTAAGTTGCTTAGCTAGCAGCCTAGCTACATGCCTAACTAGCGGTGTAGTTAACTATCTAAGTAACTAATTAGCTAGTTGCCTAGCTTGTTGTCTAGCTATTTTCCTAGCCAGTTGCTTAGCTAGCTGTGTAGCTAGCTGCTTAGCTCACTGCCAAGCTAATTAGCCTAACTAGCTGTGTAGCACTAGCTACATTATTTTCCTAGCTGATTGCCTATCTAGCTGCCTAGCTAATTGCTTAACTAGTTGCCCTGGTTTACTATGTAGCTAGTTGCCTAGCTAGCTGTGTAGCTAGTTGCCTAACTTACTGCCTGGTTAGTTGCATAGCTTGCAGCCTAGTTACTTGCCTTGCTAGCTGTCTAGCTAGTTACTTAGCTAGTTGCCTCGCTAGTTGCCTAGCCAGCTGCCTACCTAATTGCCTAGCTAGGTGTGTAGCTTGCTGCCTAGCTAACTGTGTAGCTAGCTGCCTAGTTAGTTGCTTAGCTAGCAGCATAACTACTTGCCTAACTAGCTGTGTAGCTAGTTACTTAGCTAGTTGCCTCGCTAGCTGCCTAGCTAGCTAGGTAGCTAGCTGCCAAGCTAGATGCCTAGATAGATGTGTAGCTTGTTGCCTAGATAGATGTGTAGCTTGTTGCCTAGATAGATGTGTAGCTTATTGCCTAGCTAACTGTGTAGCTAGCTGTGTAGCTAGTTGCCTAACTTACTGGCTAGTTAGTTGCTTAACTTGCAGCCTAGTTACTTGCCTAGCTAGCTGTCTAACTAGTTACTTAGCTAGTTGCCTCGCTAGTTGCCTAGCCAGCTGCCTACCTAATTGCCTAGCTAGTTAATTGCCTATCTAGCAGCCTAGCTAGTTGCCAGTTGCTTAGATAGCTGCCTAGCTAGCTGCTTAGCTGGATGAATAGCTAGCTACCTAGCTAGTTGCTTCGTTAGTTGCCGGGTTTACTATGTAGCTAGCTGCTTAGCTAACTCTGTAGCTACCTGCGTAGATAGTTGCCTAGCTAGATGTGTAGCTAGTTGCCTAGTTGTAGTTGTGTAGTAGGAATATTTTCCTAGCTATTGCTAGACACTTACATTAGACTTTATAGATACTTAGCTAGTTGCCTCGCTAGCTGCCTAGCTAGCTATTTAGCTAGCTGCCAAGCTAGTTGCCTAGCTGGATGTGTAGCTCGTTGCCTAGCTTACTTTCTAGCTATTTTCCTAGCTAGTCACTTACCTAGCTGTGTAGCTATTTGTCTAGCTAGTTGACTAGCTAGCTGTGTGGCTAGCTGCCTAGCTAGTTTCATGTACTATCCGATGGATCAAGGGTCACAGTAGATCACGCGGAAACGATGCTGCGGATGAACTGGCGTGGAGGGGATCTTATACGACCCCAACAGGTCCTGAGCCAATCATCCCGGTACTGGTAAGCCGGTTTGTCAGTAAGCGGAAACGCCCGTAGTAAGAAGAAGATAGGTATGGATATGGCCCGTATTTTTTTTCTTTCAACTACGTAGTAATGGTATCTTTAATCACTACAAAACAGATCACAAAGTACGTATTTTTTGCTTAGAAACAAACAGTGTAAAAATAACATGTTATATGTTAAACTCATTATTGGCACAGATTTTCAGATAACGTCAGCCGGGGCAATTGTAGCTAGTAAAAATTATTTAAAACTTGTGACTTTAATATTTTTACATTAATAATACAATTTACCAAATACGGTGAACGAGCCCTTACCGCCAAATTATCGTAAGCGACACTCGCCAAATTATCGTAAGCGACACTTTTGTCGAAATGGGTTTTTTGTGGAAACTAATATTTTAAACCGTAACGGACCCATCTCTGTTGATATTTCCCTCTATTCTTCCCTCTATTATATTATTATGGTGTTCTTTTGGAGGGAAATATCAACAGAGATGGGTCCGTTACGGTTTAAAATATTAGTTTCCACAAAAAACGCATTTCGACAAAAGTGTCGCTTACGATAATTTGGCGAATGTCGCTTACGATAATTTGGCGGTAAGGGCTCGTTCTTTATATTACACATGTATTGATAATAACGTAGACGAGTTCAGATTGATAAAAAGTCAAGAAATTAATTCTAATTGAAGATTTTCCACTTTAAGCCACCAATAGTCACATTTACTCCCGATCTGGGGTTGTTGTATATATTATTCTAATACTATCAGTTAACGTCAGGCCCAACTTAATGTTACTAATTTTGTACTTCAATGCTCTGTATAAGAGTCCAAAGTTGCTTTAAATTTACTGTACTTACCATCACGGGGAAATGTAACTTTTTCCATTTACATCGGTGCTGGGACATGCAGGGCAATAACTTTGGATAACCATATAACACGAACTCGAGTAGAAACGTATTAGTGAGAAAACAGGCATTCTAACCGAATTTTGTTCGGTCTCAAAACTCCTCACGTCTGGCATCATACTATTTCGAGTAAATATACAATATATTACCTACTTTGCATTCGCAATAATGCTACGCGGATATTTTAGTAGTGAACATGTACCTATACCCGGCTTTTTACACAGGGCTGTGCGGGTGCTGACATTCGAGTTACAGTGATGATGCTGAGGTTCTGAATTTGGGTAAAGTTTCACCCCTCTGTCCACAATGAGGCTCCCGTGACCAGGTCCCTTATTTTTTTATTAATTTCTCGAAAAGGCTTGACGCCTTCCTTCGCCACTGGGAGCGTGCGACGAAGATATCTGTGACGTAATAATTTGCAGGACTAAAAAACAATGATATTTACGGAATAGATTTATTTCCTCTTATGCGTATCATTATTATTGGCTGTACTATTGACATTGTCGATGGATTTTTGATTTTCTGGAACATCACTGGCGTCGGATTCTTTGGTCAGGGTTACACCCGTAGAGTTATCTGACTGACTTTCATCAGCCGTTGTGTCTTGAATCACTAGGAGTAAAACGGCAACAGTGAATATAACCTAGAAAAAAAGTTACAATTAACTATCAACTACTGCTATCTCCAATAAGAGCTACAAGCTGGAATTTCTGTATAAAATCTTTTTATAGCTGTGTGTTTTTCCAGCGCTAGCAGGGCTTGGAAAACTGTTTTTACAAGACCAATACCTAGGCTACCAGTGACATACCAACGCTAGCTGCCAGTGACATTAGCGGCCAGCGTTGGCTTCGTGTAAACCACAGAACACAGAAAGAGGTGTAAACAATGCTTTAAATATTTTCATTCTATATGTTACGGTGATTTTTTTCATACATATGTATATACATGAAAGGTTTCTTGTATGCTTGGAACCCGAAAATCGAGAAAATAAAATATAAACATATTTATTACATACTAGTGGCCCGCCCTCGCTTTGCCTCGGTGTAGAGTCGTAGTGTGTGAAAATGACTCTTCATATATTTATAGAAAAAACTGAAAATGGTATATTTGCCTTTTCCAAACTTCTATTGACATCACGTCACTCAATCGTTTTGCCTTCCCGGAACCTCTCCACTAACATTTGAAATTTATCGTATGGTATTAAAGTACAAATTGACTTTTAAGTATTATTAGGAATCGTTTGTATGGGAATGTGTTGTATTTAGACTTTATAAGGGATTTTTTTTTCTCTGCGTAAGAACCATCCTCGTACTTCAAGGAAAATTCTAAAAAAAGAATTATCGAAATCGGTTCAGCTGTTCTCGAGATTTGCGCTTAGCAACACATTCAGC